TCATTTACTTCACATAGTTCTATCAATCTTTCTCCGTTGTCGTTAATTTTGTCAACACTTATTTTAACATCAATTCTGGTTCATATATCTTACATGACATTAGTAGAAAGAAAAACTATCTGGAGTTGGATTTATTGGAAGATTTGAAGATTACAAGGGAAACAAATGAAAATTCTCACTGTCCTAATACTCAAATTAATTTAAATTGTACTAAATTTAAACCTATTTTTAAAATCTTTATTACAGCTTCACCCCGTAGAGCACCCAGCTCGGCTGTTTAGACTTCCTGCACTGAGTATATCCATATTAATTTTATAGTTCTACCATTGACTGTGGATTCAATTGAACTACTTGGATTATAACCCATTTATATACTTTGCTTTCAATTTGATTTTTAATTTTTAGTATTTTAATTGCATAGTCAGATTTCTTCTTTTCTACAGTACTGATAGTGCTTGGAAGACCATTTTATTGTAGTCAACTACCCACTGTCTAATATATTGTTAAGTATATTTCTTGCATTCATACTTTATGTCGACTTCAGTTGCTCTCAAAATAACACCCTAATTATTATAGACAGGTTTGTGTGTGAGATCTGAATGATTCAGTATACTTAAAAAATATTCTATATAATTTTATATCTCATCAGTTGATTTCCTATGGTAGTGTCAATTGGAGCTTTGGTCAATTGGTGTTTAGTAGTATAAGGGTCAGGGGAAAAAACGATGAGAGTCAAAATTATATTAATTTTCAATTGTAGATGGCAACCTGTAGCTTAGTTCCAATAGTAAACGACTGTGGCATTGGTTTTAGGAATCATGCTGAGAGTCAAGAGATATTAACGGTGAAACAAAACAAGCAAAAGGGAAATATGATGAGCATCAGTTGCCGCAGATGACAGAACGATAGTAGTCTAACGTTTCGTTGCGTTGTGCGTTACTATTTAAGTATTGTTTACTTGATATTAGTTTGTCTACTTCAAACTATGAAGTTGGGTGTCACTAAATTCAATGAGATGAAGGATTATAATGAACAGAACTTATATTTAGATGGTCTAATAACAACATCATTTGTGAAACATCGCAAACCTAGAAATGAGGATCCAGATTTTCATACATATTCTTATTTCTATAAAATAAAGTATTTAGTAGATGGAACTCTTATATAAATCCCTATTTGCTACAAGGCGTTTATGTCGATACATGGTATCACACCTCGAAAAGTGCAAACATTACAGTCAATGCTGACAAATAAAGGTTGCATTATAAAAAATGGACGAGGTAAACATAGTAATAGGCCACATGAACTTTCAAAGGAAACCCTTTGTAAGGTTCATATACATATAAAATCTCTAAAAGGTCGTCGTTCACACTACAGTTGGCATGACTCAAAAAAGATTTATTTGCTAGAAACTCTGGATATAAAAAAGCTTCATAGGCTATACAATGAACTTTATCCAAATAATAAAGTTTCCTATGATTCATACCGCAATATATTTAACACTAAATATAATATAGGTTTCGGCTATCCACGTACTCATACGTGCAGAACATGTGATCAGTTCAAGGCTCGAGAACAAGATCTGCAAAATAAATTGCCTAATAAGGGATATTGAAAAAATTACAAGATGATTTAAAAAACACAAAAACTTTACAAAATCTACAATTAAGAAAAGCATAATCTTTTTACGCAACAAAACGTTCATTTAGGAAAGCTTCTCAAAAATCTGTAGAAATTCAGGCATTTGCATGGATTTTCAGAAAAACCTTGTATACACAACATATCAACAAATTATGTGTACTATAGGCTGCAGTTATCGTATTACATTTTTAACATTCATGTTCTGGCCACACAAGTTTTTTTATACATACGATCAAACTATTGGGCATAAAGGTTCTGACGAAGTTTCTTCAATACTTTATCACTTTATTTTCAACTTCCTTAAGCCAGAGGTGTGTCAGTTGACAGTGTTTTGTGACTCTTGTGCAGGTCAAAACAAAAACTTTACATTGTTCAGACTGGCTTATTTTCTTGTACATGTATGTGGTCGACTGGATAGTTTGAATATGATACTTCCTATACGTGGCCACTTGTATATGGAATGTGTCCGCAATATGTAATTGATTTTATCAAAAGTATTACTGCGAGGTGCCTAATGACTGGATGAAGGCATTGCCAATGCAAGGATAAAACCATCCTCATTTACCGTGTTCAAGTGTGACCAATCCATTTTTTTAAGTTGGACTTCATTTTTCCAAACTTTGGACTTTAAGCAGAAGTGTCCATTTCCTTCACGACCAGTCAGGGAGCTTAAAGAATATGTTAATAATCCAAAAATGGTAAGTTTTCGAGATACTTTCAATGGATCTTTGTAATTGTTCCTCTCGTTAATTAAAATAAAAGTAATACTGTATCACGAAGATCTAAGAAGAAGAAGGCTTCCCTGACTGTTGAAATGGAAAAATACCTGGACATTCGACCAAAACCTTTGTACAGTGGAAGAATACCTGTACCTAAACCTAAATACGAGGATTTGCAAGTTTTAAAACAGTTTCCACCCAGGGAATCTCAAGTATTCTATGAGTATTTACCAACAACTGACCTTAACATTGAAAGCAATGATGGTCCTGATGAAGTTTTTGGGTAAGTTGAGTGACTATTTTTTGTAGGCTAAATAACTGCTATAATTGATTTAACACGACCAACCATCTTATATTGAATCATTTTTGTAGAGAATTTGCGTCTACAAGTTTCCAAACAAACAAATTAACAAATGAATAAAAGAAAAACACCCACTAAAATCACTTAGACTTTTTTACATTCGTATTTAAGCTGTTCACATACTTAAAATTCGGTTATCTATAAGAAGGTTAATACATACTGACTCCTATCATTCTTGTGTCTTATTTTGTTTGAACGCCTCTCATCGTTCTTCCCAAATGTATATATATAAATATATATATATATATATATATATATATATATATAATATATATATATATAAAAATGGGGATTAGAGGTTAATACCGAAAAGACACAATACATGAATATAGGAGGCATCGGTCAAGACATGGAAACAGAAAGCGGATTAATTAAAAACGTTGATCAGTACGAATATCTCGGAGTTACACTAAGCGAAGACGGAAGAGACGACAAAGATATAACAAGAAAAATAGGAAAAGGAAAAAACATGATAAAAACACTACATCCGATCCTGTGGAATAAAACTTTAACTAAGAAAACAAAGAAAAATATATATCAGGCTATGATTCAGCCGGTGCTGACGTATGGGTCAGAAGTGTGGGTCTTTAACAAGAATATGTCACAAAAACTCCTCTCAACGGAAATGATGTACTGGAGAAGATGTTCCGGGTTAACTTTGTTTGACCACATAAGAAATGAAAACATAAGAGAGAGAATGAAAGTAAAGAACACAATAATGGATACGATAGCCGAAAAACAATTAAAATGGTATGGACACCTGAGACGGATGAACGAAGAAAGGATACCACGAAAGGTTTGGAACTGGAGACCTACACAGAGAAATAAAAGGGGAAGGCCAAGAAAGAAATGGATATCCAATATTCATATAGAAATGGAAAATAGAGGTCTTCAAGAAGGAGACTGGGCCGAAATTATGGCGATTGGGATGCGAGAAGCGACAAAATTAAAGTTGCAAACACTCGCTATATATATATATATATATATATATATATATTATATATATATATATATATATATATATATATATATATAGATATATTAATCCATTATTTTTTTTACTTGTGTTTTAAGCCTTGAAAATCGTAATTTTGGTATTTCTCAGTTTTAAATTATATACTAATCAAAAACAATCAAATTTACAGAAAAACGACAAAGAGACCTATTGGAACGATCCTAAAACTTAAAAAAATATAGTCCGGGCGGAAAAAATTCATTGTTATACTTTGTTTAAAAAAAAATTAACCAAAAAAATTTGAACAATTTTTGGCTTGAGCGACCTATTGAACCCTATTTTGGGGTATCTCATGAAAGTAATTATACAAAAAAAATTTAGGGGAATATTTTACCGAAGGAACCTGAGCTTTTCGTCTGGTATATTTCACTACTATTAGAATACGCTGAAGTTTTTTAATTTTTTTAAAATAAAGCATTTTATTTCAGAAGTATTTAACTTTTTAATAGTAAATAATTTTTATTATTTTGCACGTAATTATTATTAACTACAGAAAAATATCAAATTATCAGGAAAGAAGTTAATATTACGTTTACAATTATTTCACTTTTTGTGAAAACATTAGTAATTTTTTTTTGACAATCTATTCTGGCGTACAACGAAACTTTATTGCAGTTTTGTGTGTAGCAATCGTCAGTTTTAAGTTACGTCTGACTAAAACATACTCCATTCCGTGATGCAAGACTGCCACATCTCATATTTAATTATTAAAATATTCAAAATTATAATAATTTAATCAGTCACTGCTTGTTTTGTATTTCTACAGATTATAAAGAATGCAATGTTTCAACAAAAATAAAACAATATACGTTTTTTAGTTTCTATACAAGTTGTTTTATTGAACAGTAAAACTTTAAACTGCTCTCCTGTAAAATTTACTAATTTTTACTTATGGCGGTATTGCAACAGAGGTGCGAAATTAGCATTTGCGTCGGCATCTTTATAAACCGTCGATATATAGATAAATTATTCACCATTTACACTTTTTGCATAAAGTAAAAGTGTCAAAATAAAGATACATTGGTCAATAATTAACTATTTGTAATTATAATAATTAAGATATACAATTTATAATCTATTGCGGTATTCTACTCCTATGCGCAAGGTAGTTTGTCGTCTTACACATAAATCGAGATTAAATGTATTTATGATAATTTTCTCGGAATTTCCCTATTAATAACAATATTTAATAACCCACTCCAATTCCACTATAGTATAACAACACACCTCACCTAAACAACAACTTCAACTTGAAGAACGAACCATGTCGCTTGGTTGTAAAGTGATAGTCGTAGCTTTCGTTGTTCTTTTCTTTTGTGATGGCAAAGAATTTAAGGAATTAAATGAGCAGTATGAGGATCACCTCGACAACATTTCCAAAGTGCCGTGTATGGTGCCGCAGCCGAGGGCCCTTTACCTCGAAGAAATTTTAAGTAAAGATGAGTGGAAGAAGTATGAAAAGCTAATACCGAAGGTTAGTGACTTTCATTTTAGTTGTTATTTGCTATTGTTCGTTACTTTTTCTTTATCTTCTCTGTTATGCATCAGTAAGCCTTTCTATGTTATTCTTAGATGTTGTCTGATTCACTTATGGCGATGAGTCACTCTCATTCTTCCTTTACATTACAGATTGTTGTGTAGCTTGACATTCGTTACAGTTTTGTTTATTTCTTTTCTATGTTTACATAGTTCCTTAGTTTTCCACTATCAATATTCCAATGTCTTCATTAACCTGCTGTTCAAATTTCCTAATTCTTCATTTGGGAATTTCTGTTTCTAGCTTCCACCTGCCGACTATTATAAATAGGAAGTTAAGTCTGTTTTATTTGACTCATCAATATCAGTCACTCTGTATTACTGAATCTGATTATATTTTCTTCATTCGCGATGTCGCCTAGATCACGGTTCACTCTTCTTTTCGTAGTTCGTATTGTAACAACAATTTTGCGCAATTTTTTCTCTCAACTATCTTATGTTGGTTGCATGTAAGACTGTTACTCCCCGCAATTAGGTTTTTCTCTGGGGTTTCAATAACTTGGGTACCTAGAAAGTTTTTTAGTAAATATATACTTAGACAAAGAAAACTTAACTTCTTTTCTGATAATTTGATATTTTTTCGTAGCTAATAATAATTACGTGCAAAATAATAGAATTTACTTACTATTAAAAAGGTAAATACTTCTGAAATAAAATGCTTTATTTAAAAAAAAATAAAAAAACTTCAGCGTATTCTCATAGTAGTGAAATATACAAGGCGAAAAGCTCAGGTTCTTTTGGTAAAATATTTCCATGAGATTTTTTTGTATAATAACTTTCATGAGATAACCCAAAATAAGGTCCAATAGGTCGTTCAAGCGAAAAGTTGTTCAATTTTTTTTTAATTTATTTTAAACAAATAATTGTAACAATGAATTTTTTTCCGTCCGGTTTTTTTTTTTTAATTTTTAGGATCGTTCCAATAAGTCTTTTTGTCGTTTTTTCTGTAAATTTGATCGTTTTTGAGTAATATATAATTTAAAACTGAGAAAAACCAAAATTACGATTTTCAAGGCTTAAAATAAGTATTCGTTTTATTATTTTCATTTTGAGTCTAATTTTGGTCGCTACAGGGTTGTGATTTGATCCTATGTCGGGCACTTGGATAAGATTTTGCGGATATAATTGCGTTCCTGTATCTTTGTCTAACTAATACATAGTCTATTTAGTTTCTTCTATATAGACTTCTCTTTAGCATTTTGAACAATGTATTAACTATAACAAAATTATGGTTTTGGCCAAATTCGATAAGCCTGTCACCACTTTCATTTCTGTTGCCCAGACCATATCCTCCTGTACATTCTTATACTTTTACTTTTCCAACCTTTGCGTTAAAGTCTCCCATTATAATTGTTACATCTTGCCTTTTAATGGATTTTAAAATGTTGCCTAGATCTTCGTAAAAAGTTTCAATATCGCTTTCTCGTTTGTCTGTAGTTGGAGCATAAACTTGTAGGATGTTTATTTTGGGTTTATTCTGGTTTAATTGTAAGAGTATAATTCTGTTGGTGTATGGGTTGAAATTTATTACAGCTTCATCAACGTTTTTGTTTATTGTTATCCCGACACCATTTTTGTGTGAATCGTCTTTACTTCCTGAATAATATATTGTTTTATTGTTGATTAAATCTACAATAGTCGAAAATGATTTAGAATTATTATTTTTTATAACATTACCTTTTAATTGAGACTACAACAATTATATTGGATTCTATTATAATTCTCAGCTAGCCTGTCGATATCCTAATTTTTTTCACATTTAATTAATTTTAATAGTTCTACGTTGTTTTTTTTTGTGTAAAAATTTATAAAATATACTTCATGTAATAAAATAATGTTGTATGATAAAAATTCTTGAATTTCAGCTTTGTTTGAATTAATGTTTGTAATTTTACTGTTTAGTCTACGATGATACGGAGCATTATCCAAAATAATAACGCTATTACTTTTTAATTTAGGTAGTAATTGCTGCTCAAACCACTTTTCAAACAAAGTACTGTTCACATCTTGATGAGAATCTAAGCAATCATTTACACTCTTAAGCAAGGAGTAATAAAGCATCTTCTACCCTTCCTGATTCTCTCCCACAATGTAAAATACAAATTCTCTTCCTTTTAGAGGGAGGAACATTGGTGGCGTAATTTTTACTACCATCGGTGCAACATTTTTTATCTATATCGTTGGTGTCGAACCAATTGATAGTCTTTTGGGACCAAACCCAAAAATCTCCCCATTCAAGACAAATTTGACGTATCATTTGCCATCCCATTGCCCTAAATTACCTAATGGTATTACAAAACGACGACGGTGTAAGATGTGTCTGATCAGTATATTTTTGTAAATACCATGTACTTGGTTTTCTTCAAATTAATTTTTAGTCCATAATCGTTGCAATATATATTTAGTTTGTTCAGCAAGGTGTTGCAGTTCTTCTAGTGTTCCTGCCAGAAGGACGGTGTCGTCAGCATATCTTATGTTATTAAGTGGCTCACCGTTTATTATAAGGCCCTCACTGATCTCGGCAAGCGCTAATTCTGAGATGGCTTCACTGTATAAATTGAGTAACAAGGGTGATAAAATATACCCTTGGCGGACCCCACGGCGAATCTGGATATCCTTGGTCAGTTCGTTTTCAACTTTCACTTTGCTGTTTGATTCCAATAGAGTTTACAGATGATTCTAATATCTCTACTGTCTATGTTTTTATTTAATAAAATTTCTTTAAGTCTATTATGCTGCACTCTGTCAAATGCCTTCTCAAAATCAATGAAATAGGTATATACTTCCTGATTAATATCTAAGCATCTCTGCGAAATAACACTAAATGCAAACAGTGCATCTCGTGTTCCCAGTCCTTTCCTAAATCCCATTTGTGTATTACTTATGCCTTCATCTAATTTCTTATGTATTCTATTGTGAATTACTTTTAAAAACAATTTCAAGACATGACTCATTAAGGCTATGGTGCGATGTTCATTGCACTCCTTTGCATTGGCTTTTTTGGGAAGCAGTATGAATGTTGATTGGAGCCATTCTTTAGGTATTATACCTGTTCTATATATGGTATTGAATAGATCCAAAAGAAGATCAATAGATTCAGTATTCACAATTTTAAGTAATTCGATAGGAACTTCATCAGGCCCGAGAGATTTACCACCTTTAGCTTGTTTCATTGCATATTCAATTTCTTCTCGTATAATGTCAGGCCCAGTATCATCCTTAAATTCTTTTGGTGCTTCTGTTCTCTCTTTGTCTTCAAAAAGTTGTGCTATATATTTTGGGTTTATTCTAGTTTAATTGTAAGAGTATAATTCTGTTGGAGTATGGGTTGAAATTTATTACAGCTTCATCAATGTTTTTGTTTAATATTATCCCGACACCATATCTGTGTGAATCGTCTTTACTTCCTGAATAATATATTGTTTTATTGTTGATTAAATCTACAATAGTCGAAAATGATTTACAATTATTATTTTTTATAACATTACCTTTTAATTGAGACCACAACAATTATATTGGATTCAGTACACAATAGTAAGGACGTAATATTAACACTTTATGGCCATCATTCTCAGCTAGCCTGTCGATATTCTAATTTTTTTCACATTTAACTAATTTTAATTGTTCTACAAGTTGTTTTTTTTTTGTGTAAAAATTTATAAAATATACTTCATGTTATGATAAAAATTCTTGAATTTCAGCTTTGTTTGAATTAATGTCTCTTTAGTCTACAATGATACGGAGCATTGTCCAAAATAATAACGCTATTTCTTTTTAATTTAGGTAGTAATTCCTGTCAAACCACTTTTCAAACAAAGTACTGTTTATATCTTGATGATAATCTAAGCAAAGACAATCACTTACACTCTTAAGCAAGGAGTAATAAAGCATCTTCTACCCATCCTGATTCTCCCCCACAATGTAAAATACAATTTCTCTTCCTTCTAGAGGGAGGAACATTAGTGACGTAATTTTTACTACCATCGGTCCAACATTTTTTATCTATATCGTATGTGTCGATCCAATTGATAGTCTTTTGGGACTAAACCCAAAAATCCCTCAAGTCAAGAACACAGTTTAATTTGACATCCCATTGCCCTAAATCAGCTAATGGTATTACAAAACGACGACGGTGTAAATGTAGCTGGCAAACTAAAAAAGAAAGAAAGAACTCATTGTTTTATTGTGTGAAGTGCCCTGAATATCCGGGTTTGTGCTTAGAAAAATTGTTTTAGATGTTTTCATGAAGAAATTAAAAATTAGATAATTAATTTGTTTTCTTGATGTTGTTGCCATTTAATAATTACTTATATTAGTTATCTAAGTTTAAAATTATATCTTGTCTCAATCAGATTATTTTTTTTTTTCTGCCCTGTGGCCACCGACACATTTTCTGCCCAACCAACGCGACTCATGCGGTGAGCCTTTTTTTGTGATCAAATTATTTTTTTTTGTACCCATATTTATTATAAATGACTTTTTAAAGTGTACCTTAAAAATTTATTAGTTTACACTAATACATCTCAGTGGCCCACTGTTTCCCCTTAAAAAAAGAGACGGAGCTGAACGTGTTAATAGTGTAACTTAGCTCAAAGAAGGTGTATTCACGTAATATTTTTAGTACAATAAAAATTTTAATACATACCATAATTTGGAAAAACGATGAGAGTCACAAAATAATATACAAGAATGATGGGAGTCAGTATGTATTAAACTTCTTATAGGTAACCGAATTTTAAGTATGTGAACCTTAAATACGAATGTAAAAAGTCTTGGTAATTTGCTCCAAACGTGGTTTTAATGGGTGTTTTTCTTGTATTCTTTTGTTAGTTTGTTTGTTTGGAAACTTGTAGATGCGGATTCGCTGCAAAAATAATTCAATATAAGATGGTTGGTCGTGTTAAATCAATTATGGTAGTTATTTAGCTTACAAAAAAT